TTACCCACTTCTAATATGCAGCTTAAATTTTTTAGTAGGAAAAAAATTCATTGCAGTTTCTTCGTTCATTTTCTGGTAAGTTCTTTAATAATGAGACTTAGTCTTTTAAAGCGACTGAGGTAAGAAGTAACTTATTTTTTACCTCTCTGTAATAGGAAAATGAGGTTCAAGAATGGAAAGAAGTAGCATTAAGTTCTTACTCTCCTCAAACCTCACTTTGCTACCTCTTTAACCATATAAATATTCGGTCTTTGCTAAACAAAGCGCGAAAAAAAATATATCCAGCGCTCTCCAATCTTATACGTTATGCCGGCAATGCTACATGACTCCTCATAATTTAAGCAATAATTTAACAATACTTATTGCTTTATTAATTTATTTGTAACATCCAGAAAATGCAGTAAACATGTTTCTTCAAGGTATATAACACAAAGTTAAATGTTGTTATAAAAACTCAAAATTAGATAACGGAATTAAATAGATGTTCAAACTTTAAATTAAAATGATTTAATTTAAAGACTTATTTTTTTAATTAAAACGCGTTCTTTAAACTCAGCAGTTTTATTACTTATTTTATACTATAAATAACAATTGAAGTTAAAAATCTTAAATCTTGTCTTCCATTATTTGTCATTGTTCGTAAAACTGCTTCTCACTTTTCTTTGCTTTTCAGAAGCCGAGCTCTGCTCAAAATGTAACACTTCTAAGCACTTTTTCTGTAGCCGATGCTCCAAGAAGATTTCTCTTTTGTTAACGTGGCAGATTTATAGGTCAGACTTTCCCTTCTTTGTATCCCCCTACAAGGTAAACATCCCTTCACGACAAAGGACGCACAACGCCACCAACGGTGTTAATTGCTTCGTAATAGTGATACCACTGAAGAACCGCACAAAGTGGAAAAGTACACGTATTTATTTTTCTGATTTCTAGAATTCAGCTATTCTGCTGAAGAATTGACGTCGTTCCAAATTCTGTTCTCGTTAGAACTGACTTCCCAAACAAGCGTTACATTGAGAAAGTACGAAAACTAAACTTTTAAAATTTCTCCTTTAGTCTACAAAAATGATCAGAACTAAAAAAAATTACCTCAGATATCTAAAAGACGGATTTATAGGAGAATAAATCAACGTATATTATCGGATTCGTCAGAAGATGAAGTAGCATTTAATTATGAAAAAAGACTGCCTAATTTTCCCGCTAGCAAATATTCTTTAAGTTGCATTTCAAACTGTGTTTCGAAATATGAATTTTTATGTCTCAAGAAGAACTAACCATTACCACAACGATTATCCCATTTTAAGGAACATTCCAAATATAGGACTAATAAATATCAAGTTAGATTTTATGCATCTTGTGTGCTTAGGAGTAGTACGAAAAATGATTACTATTAGGATAGGCGGAGGCACCTTACAAGCACAATTACCACATAAAAATGTTGAACTAATTTAAAAAAAAAATAACATGTTTTTAAAGCTTTATGTACCAATTGAATTTGCAAGAAAACCAAGCAACCAACTCTAAAAGAATTGAAACAATGGAAAACTACAGAATACCATAAATTTTTACTGTACACTAGCCCACTTTTTTTTTTTTTTTAATTATTTAACAAAAAGCTATATGATCATTTTTTACTACTTCACATTTCGATTTGACTCTTATGCAAAATACAGAATCAAACGGCCATTGATGAATACGCACAGTCTCTATTAAATCTCTTCGTAGTAAATTTTAGGCTTTATTATGGAAAACAGTATATTTCTCATAATGTTCACGGCCTACTGCATATTTGCGAAGATGTAAAAATGTTTGGGCCGTTAGATAATTACAGTGCATTTAAATTTGAAATCTATATATCTTCTATAAAAAATTGATTAGAAAAACTTCCGCTCCATTACAGCAAATAGCAAAACGAACTCATGAACTGTTCAATCCTATTGTAGCCATCAATAATGATTCAATTAACGTAACCGACTTAAGTTCAGAATTTCAAAACTTACACACGTCTGGTGCACTGCTTAAAGGTAATTAAATGCTTAATTTTATTATTGAATTTTGAATACAAATTAACTGAAGTCAGAACTAAATTTGTAGAATAATTTAATAATGCATATATTGAAGAATTCAGTTTTGGGCTATTGAATGGTTAAAAATGATCGAAAGATTTTTAGTATCTTACAGCAAAATTTTCTCTTATAATATTTTGTATTAATAATTCAAGTCCCTTCCTCAGTTTTAGATATATTTACAAATTATGAAATAAACTGAAATTCAAATTAGAAAAATAAATTGTATAAATATTCTTAACATTTATTTTTCCATAGTAACCACAGATGGAGGACTTGAGACTATCTGTGGAAAATAAGCAGGTTGTAGGTTATCACAACACCTTTACACTTTCACTGGAATATAAAGAAGATTCCTAGAGATATACTGGGATGTAACATTAAGCAATTCAGAGCATGCATTTAAAAGGTTAAAGGGACATTGTAAATAGTATTTCAAATTCTGATAACATCCCACATGCTCGGTGGGATCTAGATAGGATGTCCTAAGGATACACCGGGATGTAACATTAAGCACTCGGGAGGATGAGTTTAGGAGGAAACTGGAATATTACGAGATGTCCTGAGGATTAGTAAGTAGGACTTTAAATCCTAATAACGTCCCACACGCTGTCCATGGGACATAGATAGGATGTTCTTAGAATATAATGGGATGTGTTTAGGAGGTTGGGCCGGATATCCCAGGATGTCCTGAGAATGTAGTAAGTAGTTCATATCCTAACATCCCGTACGCTGTCGATGGGACTTGGTTAGGATGTCCTGAGAATATACTGGGATGTGACATTAAGCGCTCGAGAGGCGGGTTTAGGAGGTTCGCGGGATATTCCGGGATGTCCTGAGGATGTGCGCATATCCCGCGAGCAACATCCTCGCGATATCCCAAGGATGTTTTTGTGCTATGTGGGAATGTACAACATTTTTGTAACATAAAATTAGCCGACGAGAATTTTAATGTACCAGAACGTATAGGGATAGTTTTAGGAGTTTATGTGGCGGCGCAGGTACACAGATTCTAGTTCAGATAATTTTAGATAGTTTTCGATGCTGTTAAGAAATTTGTTTGACTAAAAACAGGAAAATCTGTAAATAAGGTAGGTGGATATTTCCTTCGTGTAGTGCTTAAGATCAATTTTCTTTTTTATGTTATTTCATTGCTTCATTTAAAATGTAGTTTATTGAGATTATATATTTTTTGTTGACTACTCCTTTAACGTTTTAAGTGAATACTGATCAAGGCGAACCTGAACAAAGGGAGTGCACAATGCCTAGTTTCTGCAATTCTCTGATTTTCTTTTTAAGTGAAAATAGGCCGATGTGTGCATGGATACTGAGTTTCATATGGAACGTTCATGGATACCGACTTCACATGGACGTGTACATGGATCTCGTCTCAGGAACCATAATATCAGAAAAACAAAACCGCGTACACTGTGGGTTAATAGCAACAACGGATGACTTAGAACAAACAATCAAAAAGTTTTCGGAGACAGAAACTGCTGAAAAGGAGATAGTACAAAACAAAGAAACCATAATATGTGAAGAGCATGTTCAGAAAACTCATAAAACCGAAACTGGATAGATAGTATGTTCTAACTATGCCTTTAAAAGAAGATCCCTCATGTCCAGGAGTTGCTAAGGACATTGCTTTAAGAAAATTAACATCCTTGTGGAGAAGACTGCGTTTATATCCTGATTATTTAAAATTCTACAAAGAGTTCTTCGCAGAGTATCAGCAAATGGGACATATGTATGAAGTTGTACGGTTTATATTTATTTTAACTAACATTTATTTTAAGTTTAAACTATCTTTCCTGTCAAGCCTTACTTTCCCCTGGAACTGCCAATGCCAGAATATGTAAATTTGAGTAGAACGCGCAAGGATTCAAATTATCAGCGGAAGTATTATGATTTAAATAGAAGGAAACGAGTTCGGTGAGAGAGTTATTCTACTTAGCGAGCGCTGAGGTAGAAATCGAGAATTGAAGAACCCGCGTTGCGGCCTATGTGCTTGGCGGGAAGTAGTTGCATTGTTCCAGTGAGCTTCAAGTCTGCTGAATTAGCTGCGGTATTTGTAAAACGCGGTTGATAGTTATTTTAGAGAGCTAGTTAAGTTAGAATATTGTTTACTTTCTTTTCAGGTTCTTATTTTTATTTGACTGCCTAGTGGGCACAGTCTGTAAGCGTCAAGAGGACGCCATTTGTAATTTATTACGTTGAATAAAAATGGACTTAAACCCTTTATAAGACTCTGTGGTTTATACAAGCTTTCACAGTCACCTCTTGGTTGCGTGCTAGTTAGAGGCGCGCAACGTTATAAAGTAACAGAAAAAGAAATTGACACTGGTTCGTATTTTATACCGCATTTAGGTATCTACAGACCTGAGAGAAATTCCACTAAGCTTAGGGTAGTATTCAATGGTTCATGTGCTACAACTAAAGGAAACTCACTACAGTATAATGGAGGTGTGATTCAAGATATTTTTGCTTTAATGCTCAGGTTTAGGAACTATCTCTTTGCATTTACTGCCCATGTAGAGAAAATGTTCCGCATGATCTGGATAACTCCAGAATGGAGTAAACTTCACAGAATACTTCGGAAAGAAGAAATTAATAAACCATTAAAAGTATTTGAATTAGCGACTGTGACATATTACACCAAAAGCGCTCCATACTTCGCAATGCATACATTACAACAATCAGGCATAGATGAGTCCAAGCAATTTTCATTAGCTGCTGCAATAATAGTACCAGATATATAACACATCGTTCAATAAGTCCCAGGACTAACCAAAAGATGGTGTTAGTAATATCAACTTGACTTCATTGTTCAAAAGAACTAACCTTCAAATGAAAATTCTCTAATTTTCAAGGCATTCGAACCAGAAACAGCGAAGCTACTGTGGTGAAAGTGACACTACTTGTGCATTGGTAGACAAAATGCAGAAAAACGAATTTCGAGTGTTGATCAAACATTGCTATTTAATAGGCAAAAATACTGTGCACGCTCAGCAATGGCTTGACAAATGTTATCCGTACACTGCTCCATCGAAAACAACCATTTGCCGTTGGTATGGTGATTTCAAGCACGGTCGCGCGGATGCAAATGATGCGGCACTCTCGGGTAGGTCAAATGAAGCAGTCTCTCCGAAAAATGTGAAACAAGTGTTGAAAATCGTGATGAATGACCGCAAAGTGAAAGTTCGTGAGATTGCTGAGTTGGTAAACATATCAACTGGAAGCGCGTCTATGATTTTACATGAAAAGTTGCGAATGAAAAAAGTGTTTCCCAAATGGATACCGCATGTGCTCACAATGGAACAAAAGCAACAAGTCGATGATTCACAGAGCTGTTTGTCACTGTTTACTCGCAATAAAGAGGATTTCTTGCGTCGATATGTGACAATGGACGAAACATTGACTCCAGAGTGAAATAGTGGATCCAACCAGCAGTCAGCTGAGTCGCGTGCAGCCGGTGAAAGCCATCCCAAACGTCCAAAAACGCAGCAGTCAGCTGACAAAGTCATGGCGTCTGTGTTTTGGAATGCGCGAGGAATAATTTACATCGACTACCTCGAAAAGGGAAAAATCTATCGATAGTGCCTATTACAGTGAGTTATTGATGCGTCCGAAGGACAAAATCGAAAGGAAAAAAAAAAAAAAAAAAAAAAAAAAAAAAAAAAAAAAAAAAAAAAAAAAAAAAAAAACGACCGCATTTGAAGGAAAAAATCATCTTCTGTCAAGACAATGCCACGTGCTACAACTCAATGCAAACATTGGTTACATTGAACGAGTTGGGCTTCACTCTACCTCCCCACCCACTATACTTCCCAGATCCAGTTTCCAGCGACGACTGCCTGTTTGTTGATCTCAAAAAGATGCTCCAGGCGAAACGATTTGGCTTAAATAAGGAAGTCATCGCTGCCACTGAAGCTTATTTTGCGGATAAGGACAAACGTTGAAACAAGCACGTTATCGAAAATTTAGAAAAGCCTTAGAATGATTGCATAGCTCTTCGTGGTGATTATGTTGATGAATAAACGTGAATTTTTTTTTTAATGGATGTTGTTTTCTTAGTCCCCGGACTTATTGAACGATGCATTACATGGATGACATTTCATCAGGACCTGAGACATGAAAGAAAGCTAAAGAATTACAATATCAATGAACTGAAATTTTCAAAAAAAGAGGCATCAGCCTTCACAAGTGGTGTACCAATGATAATGAGATTACCAATAGTACCAAATCAGCTTATGCATTTTTAAAAGCTGAAGAGGCTGAAACATTAGGAGTTTATTGAAATTCCAAGGAGGATAATTTTTTCATTTAAGGTGAAACATGAAGATGTAATTATGCACACTACGAGAACTGTATTGTCAACAATAGCATATTTATTTGACACATTGGGATCGCTAGGCCTTGTTATATCGAAAGCAAGATATATTTATGCAAAAATTGTGGCTACTCAAGACAGATTAGAACGATGTTTTACCAAAAGAAACTGAAAAGGAGTGAAAAATATTTATAAAGTCATTACATACAATAAATAACATCAATATTGAGAGATGCATCATAATAGAAGATCCTGCGACAATTCAGTTGCATGGATTCACGGACAGCTCTGAATTGTCTCATGAAGCAGCAATATGCCAAATCAGTCAATACGAATGCAAAAGCGAAGATAAGGATGATTGCGAGCGAATCCACAGTTACACCCATAAAGTTGGTTGCTCTGCTGCATCTTGAGCTATGTGCTGCGGTTCTTCTACTGAAACTGATGAAAAGAGCGCAAGCAGCATTAAAATTAGATATGACTTCTCTCTATTATTAGAGTGCAGGGCCGCCGCGTGGGTATTAGGCGCCCCTGTTCAAATTGAAATCTGGCGTCCCTTTATGGAGTTCTGTTGCACACTTACAAAGTGCTGCAAATTATATGTGAAATATTCTTTTATAGCATTCAAAATTTGATTTTCGAATTGAAAAGCTTAAAAATTATAATATTAATACACGTGTGTCTTATTAGTTTTTTATTATTCATAAATTATAATATTAACACGCGTTTGTGATATTTTTTTTATTATTTCACAATGATAAAACATTTTTTAAGTAAAGTATAAAAATAAAAAAATATATTCAAATATTGATTCTCCTAGCCTTAGCAGCTACAAACGCATGTATCAGTTCCTTTATATTGAATTTATTCAAAATTTCGCTCTCTATGGATATAATTGACAAGTCCGATAATCTCTTCTGCGCCATGGTAGATCGCATATAGTTTTTTTATAATTTTAAATTTTGAAAAACTTCGTTCTCCAGTAGCCACCGAAACTGGCAAGGTTAAAGAAATCCGTAAAGCTATTGCAATATTCGGAAATGTATCGGTAAGATTGTTTTCATAAATATAATTTAAAACATCAATAGGTGACATATCTTCTTTGGTAAAACATAGCAAAGATTTTATTTCTTCGAAAAAATTTAATCCATCAATGTCCTTTTCATTAATATTTTTAATATTCGTTAATGTTTGTTCTAATTCTTTCAAATGTTTTAAAATTTCATTTTCACTCCAGTTTTTTTAAATTAGGTACACAGTGAAAATTAGGTACACACCTTGAAGTAATTGTAATGTTCTTTTACTTAACTGAATCTTTCAGTAATCGAGGAAATAGCAGTGTCTAATATTATATTGTAAAATTCAATCTTAAATTTTTGTCTTGGATTGTTGATTGGTTCGTCGGTTTGTTAATCTCGAAATAGTTTCTTTTTAAATCTGTTTCGACTTTGTAGAAAATCAGTATCCACCCCCAAATCATCAGCAATCATACTTGCATTGGCAACTGCATGTTTATACACTTCATCTGATCTACGATTATTTAGTTCTGATATAAGGCTTTGTAAATTATCAGGCACAATTTGTAAATCGCATTTAGAATTTTGTATTATTTCATTTACCAGATTTATTAAATTTAAAATATCGTGTCAGATGTTAATGGAACAAATGAATTTAAACGAGTCAAACCATCTAAATCAACTCTTTTGCTTGAGTTCTTAATTCTGTGTCTCTTGTTTGATCTTGAATATTTATGAACGCTCTCAAACTTCCCTTCAAATCGTTTTCAATGGTCTTAAAGTGAATTCTACTTTCGCATCTGGTGTGGAGACTGGCTTTAAGTTAGATTTTCAACATACTGTTGCAAAATAGACCAACGTTTAACAGATGAAGAAAAGTACTTGTAAAGCTCCTGCACTACTCCGAAGAAATTAACTGTTTCGAAGCAAATTTTAGCTGCGTCATTTACAACTAAGTTTAGAGAATGGGAAGAGCATTGAATATACAGTGCCTTGAAATATTTTCAATAATTTTTTGTTGCAGTCCCTTGTGCTTTCCTCTCATATTGGCACCATTATCGTAAGATTGGCCTAGTAAATCTGATAAATTTAGTTCTAACGATTTTAAATGTCCATTTATGAATTCAAACAGACCTTGTCCAGTAGTGTCGTCGACAGATTGAAATCGTAAAAAATGTTCTTCAGTTTGGGCTTTATTGCTTTCCTCGTTTTTATAAGCAAATCGAATTACAACAGTCAACTGTTCGGTATGACTGACATCCGGTGTAGAATTAGTGAGTAATATTTTGACGATTTAATCATATGTAATAAATGCTTTTTAATTCCTTCTGAAATAATGCTTATAATTTCATTCTCAATTTGATCCCCTAAGTAATGAGCAATGTTCTTCTTTGAGATGTTGAATTTTGTAGAGATGTTCAAGATTATTGGGATCAAAATTTGCTATGGTTTCAACCAACTTCAAAAAATTCATTATCACTGATACAACTCTTTCGAAGAACCTAAATGCAAGGCATGCTGGGCAAATTGAATAAATAAATAAGCCGTTCAATAACCGATTGCCAGTAAACCTTTTCTGCATCATTAAGTCTTTGTTGAGCTGCATCAATAGTACATAAATAACGCAAGGACATTTTGAGTTCATTGCATTTTGAACTATGATTAAAGTGAGCTGCACTGCTTTTATGTGCTTTCAAAATTTGGGTTAAATGTGCCCAATCATTGCATCCATCCTTAATAAGCTGTGAATGCTTCTCACTGAATAGTTTACATGGGAAGCAAAAAACTGCGTTTCGGGAATTTGAATATACTAAATAATTTCTAAATACCTTTTCTCCATTCGGTAATGTTCTATAATAGAACGGTTCTGAAAACTTTCTGCCAGAATTATCTCTCGGAAAATGCGTGAAAATTAGTTGGCTGGTTGTGAAAATGTGCTTGGCGATTTTCAGCAGCGGCGATTTTTTGAAAATCGCCAGTAAAATATCAGAATACGTTGCATAACAAAGTTGCGAAGGAGGAGCTATGTGACGTCCGTAAATGGGTGGGACTAAGATTGTGACGTCACAATGTATTCTCTACAGATGTAGAAGTAAGTATACTAAATTTTTGTATTCAAACTACTATAAACGGTAACTGAATTGTAACAATATTTAAACTGTAAACAAGTCGCAGTCTTCATACAGGGTGAATATTTTAAGCTTTAGTATACAAATAAAAACAGATTTTTTAAAATTTAATTTCATATTGCGGAACATTTTAACTTATCATCTTTACAAAATTACTTATTCTACGTAAGACACCATCTTACATACTAGTAAGTAAACAAGTTCATTATTTTCTAAAAATTTTAAGCTTTACATTAATAAAAAAAAAAATATTTATGATTGAATATCAACATCATACAAGCTTTCATTTCCCTGTTTCTTAAGTTCCTAAATCACGTTTATACTTTCGTATTAGAATTCTACACATTAATACATTTAAAAAATCTAATTTCTCACAGTAAAAGAAAATAAGAAAATATTAAAAATAAAGCAATTTTAAAAAGAAAAAATATTTCACTTACCCTTTAGGAAAATAAAAAGTCTTTTCTTTTTTTTTTTTTTTAATTTATATCGGGGAAAAACCTCCCTAAACCGTTTAAGAAAATTTACTCAGTTTTATCGGCCGTTTCCGGCGGATAAATCTTTACGATGCCTCTAAAAAGGCACGATAATGTTTCACTTAGTGAGTGGTTGTGCCATTTTCGCCACATATATTCCGCTAAATATGAATCAAAATTCGCCATCTACGTGGTTTGTATTTCGACGTAAATGACGTTTGATTCCAGACCCAGGCTACCTTCTATGGAATTAGTGTGCGCACCGACTAGGATCGGGACGGAAGTACAGACTGTGGTGACAGTCAGATGGCTATAACCTAAAATTTTTTAGTCCACCATATGCATTCCAGCAGTCTGAAAACACAGTTGTCCCAGCAACACCCATTCAACTATCACTCTCTCCAAACTCTCCTTTGATCTATTCTCAACCTCTCTAAAAAAAACATCTGTCGTTCTCTCCTATACCACCAATTACCCA